GAGCAGCCCCTGCAAGGGCAAAACAGGCAGGTGGCTACATCATTATGCTGACAGACTGAATGTATTAGAAGTTCTCTCTTGACCAACATGCTCTTAATAAAAGGTTTTATTTCATTCCTCTGCACACATGGGCTTCTGTTGCAGTCTCCCTTGGGAGAGTTCTGCTTGCCTTCTGGAGTCTGGAAAACATCCCCCTGCTCTTTGCATACTAATCTGCTCTGGTGGACCTGTGGTCCTGATCAAGCTGCTCTGCCCTGTAATTCTTCCCTGAATGCCTGCTTTCAAATCAAGCCAAAAAGGGAAACAAATACTTATTCCATCAGAGGTTCTGACATGTTACATTAAACAAGCAAGGCATGTGCAGAATATTTATGTTTTGGGAAGAAAGAGATGGTAGTATCAGGATAACCTTGCCTTCCACTCAAGATCTGTGTATAAACAGAGATGAGACTGGAAAAGGGCAGCATTTAGCCATTTCACACAAGAGCAGGATAAACTGCATCTTTTTCACACGCTTAGGCACTAACACTGCAAGAGGGAACCTTATGAACTTCATACTGCCTTTCAGACAAGGATTTCAGAGTGCTCAGCAAATACAGATTTGCCGTCACCATTTCACATCAATTCACTCTTGACTAGAAGGAAGCCATTTTTTAAAAGGAATGGAATTATTAGGCTGATAATAACGTCTTCACCATGGTATAGGCATCTTTTTCTCAAGCGGCACATCCACTATTTGAGTTTCCAAGCAGTTAAGCTACATGCAGGGAGAGAAAGTGATCACCAAAGTGATTCAAGTGTTAGTCCAGATTAACAACAGATAAAGATGTTTTGAATCTTCTCTTCCATTCTATAAATGACAATAGCACATCTCAGTCTTTTCATGCTCAAGCAACAAAGGAAAAGTCCACACTGACACTCGGCAATGATTCACAAGTGGGAGTTTCTTTCTGGCCCTATTCAATGATAGATCTTTATTCCATATTATGACACTACAAAATAAACAATTTTACTACACAAAGAAACAATACTATTTACGTAACTTTATAATCCATAGCCCTCAAGGAACAATATGTGCTTCACTATTATCTTGCTTGTTGCTATAAGACAGCTAGCCCTGTGTTTTGGAAAAAACTGAAAGCACAACTTAGCCAGCCTTTTATGAAAAGCCACAGTGGTCGACTAAAGCCAAGAGTGAGCTGAAAAAGGGGCACTGGTTATCTTCCTGACTGTGCTAGTGCCAACCCTACACATCCCAGGTACGATTTCAGAAAAGACCAAAAGCCCAGCAGGCACCAACCTCACACCTACGGACTTGCTGTACTTATTCATTCAGGACAGGGACAATATAGATCTGAACACTGTCACTTCAGATCCTCACCAGAGAGAATATAGGTGACAGGCTCTGAGCATGACAGCTGCATGTCACAACTCAGGTAACAAGCCTTCAACATAACCACGCAGTACAGCTAAGTCTTCTCATAGGGTCCACCTCTTCCTGACTACCAGCAGCATTTTACACATAATGCAAAGCAGAACTTGGCCTGCCAGGGACTTGTAGCATCTGCTTTGTACCACACAAATGATCGAGCAGTCATTCCAGACTGAGTCCAGTCAAACACTTCCACTTGTATGTTGCTTTAAAAATATTTGTGACCTAGCGAAGGGAACTAATTGTGCTGAAGTTTGAGCCCAGCAGGGGAATGCTTTGCTTTCTTATTCTTTACACAGAACACCCACCAGTCATTAGGTAGGATGAGTGAAAGGCTAATTGCAGTGCTTCAGTTTATAGCAATCCCCTGTGAGATGCAGTGCATGCCTTTAAAAGTGTTGTTCCTTGCACTGAACTTGTACATCAAATGGGAAATAATGCAACTATGGAGGCAATAATGCAACTACCGTGGGTGGTAACCAGCCAATTCTTCTTACACCTACAGCATATTTTGTTCCAGAAGATCATATTAATGCTATTATGGGAATTATGGAATTGTTATAATGGACCTGCTAGGCAATATTGTGTATTTGGAAACCTAAAATAGCAATGACCACCCTAAATTTTCACTACATCTGCTTTTCCTTTTCAATTCAGCCTGCTGTGTCTCTGCAGGCTCTCTCGTTTAACGACTATTCGTCTCTTCATGTTAACAGAAAAATACTAACTACCGGATAAAGGAGTGTATGTGTATACTAGCAAGATCATTAGTCTGAATAAATGTGACAGCCGAGTTGCATGAGAAATGCCACAGTTAGTGGTAAGCACAAACTACAGCTTTGGGTGTAAAATACTATAATTACAAGGGATGGAGAAAGCTCCACAGTTTTTATCCCCACAGAAATCAATAGTCGTGCAGACTTCTGCTCTTTGCTGGAGCAGGAGCAGTCTGATGAAAGAGCTTATTGATCTATCCAGCTGATGCTACTGAAGTGAATAATAGACTGGAAGAGAAAGGGCTTGTAAATTAGACTCATTCAATCCAGCATTTTCCAGCATATCTTTTACGTGCAGCTATATAAAGGTATATATTTACAAGTGAGTTTTTGTCAAAGTAACAGGCTACTGACTCCCTGTAAGAGGGTTTGTCTACTAATTCTTTGACCCCAACTACACCCCCCGTGTCAACCTTCAAGTTCTCACTAAAGACTGATAGTCAGGAGGCAGCACCAGGGCATCTAGGAGCAGGATTTGACTATGGGGCAGGTAAGCAGCTGGCCAACACATCTCCCTGAGGGCTATGGCCACAGAAAAAAAGGTGGCTGTAGCTTCCTCCATGCCACATGTGCCATGTCAGATCCAGTGGCATGAAGGCATTGGAAGAGTCTGCTGTGGATCCACAGGTTCCCAGCCTAGGAGAAATGTCAGTTCCTGGCCCCAAAAGCCTCAAATAATATGGAAAGAGGCATGTTGTTTTAGGAATGAAAGGAGTCCTGTGTGTCTTCCTGGCTCAGCAGGCAGACTTTCTATGAACCTAAATCCACATGGGCAAAAATGTAAGTATTCAGATTGATTGCACATAAACTGAGAAGGAGAAATAAAGAAAAAGGGTGGGGGGGAGAGAGAGAGAGCAGCAGGCACACTGCCACCAAGTACGGCAAATCAATCTTCTCAGCAGTGATGGATCGGGGAGCAGGACTGTAAGTTTTACAGGTATATGAAACCCCGCAAGTATAAAGACACCATTAAAACACTGCCATTAAATTCCAACACTGAAGGATTACCACGGCCCCTGGAGCTAAGCAGGTCATTATATGACTGCATATTTTTCATTATCATTTTTTATATACATATATATGAAGCAGAATAGGATTCACAACAGTTTCACCCTCTCTCCTGCTGAAGACCTCTGCTTTATACTCAGCATCCACTTTCACAAATAAAATGCAATATACCATCAACAGATAAACGAGATCCCTACAGGGCTTTTATTCTGCTGTACTATTATATCTACTTTTCCACAAGACTTCTGCTTAAATGGCTCTCTTTATGCACACACAAAGATGACATACAGCTGTCTAAATATAATCTGATAGTGAAGAGCTCTTCTGTATAGGGAAATGTATCTTTTCTTCCTAATTTACCATAATGACTTATTAACAGTGCTGGAGCTAGGGGTATGCTAGCTTCCCCACAATAGAAGTGTTATATAGTAAGACATGGATGGATTTTTATTTTTTTTTCTATCTTTAGAAATGAAAAAGAGAGGAGCTCTAAATTTCACCTTTCCATTTTCCCCATAAAAAGAGATTTTTTGAGGCATTACAGCTTCATAGGCTGCTGACACTGACTAATAGTTTCTAACATGATGGAAGTATTTGTATGAGACACACTGAGGAAGCTATTTGTAACTCTGGGAAACCCCAGAGCAAGTGGCTATGCTGTGCCATAGGGTAGCTCAGAGATCACTGCCAGCATAGTAGCCATCTTATATAGTAATTATTCAAGGGGCAGACCTATGTATTAGCTAGTAGTGTCACTTTTCTGTCATTGTGACTATTTCAGTCAAAAGTAACCTGCCTCAGAGAATAAAAATTCTTAACTCCTTTTTAATGAGAGAACCCAAAGCATTTTATGATCTGGACACATAGATATTGAATAGTTACAGCCACGACTCTTTGGATAACAGAGAGCTGAAGCTCGACAGAGAAGTACTGTAGTGAGATGGGATGAAGGAACAGGAGAGATGTGTATGTGATGATTTTGACTCAGGTTATCGTGCTAATGAAATGTGAAAGGGAGTCTTGATGCACCAACAGCCCAAAGAAGACCTCATTTTTGAGACAGGATGGGGTGCAGAGCAGATTAACTGTTCATCAGTACATGTCAGAATCACACTTAAAACCTGCTGTTTTTTTACTTCTCTCTCCTATTAGTCACAAAGGCAAGACCATGGCATAAACAGGTGCAGGTAGAATAGACTTCAGTGTTAGAGCTGATCTTCACGAGGCTGCACCATGATGATGACTACACATGAAGTTTGCACTAGCACTGTCTAGATACAGTCTACTTCCTTCTACCACAGGGCACTTGAAATCCAAAAAAAGCACATAACTATTATACGTAGAAACATGTGCACCCACCATTCCTGATATTAAGAAGCCACAAGCTGATCTGCTTGGCCAAGTTTACTCTTTAAAAATGCAGACTTTGCCCTGAATGCTCTTTTTTTCCCATTTACATTGCTGTAAGAGTCACTGCCAAACTTCTCTGGACAGATGTTGCACCCCTATAGAGAGGAAGACTGTTTGGTAGGGAGACCGGGGGGAGAAGGCTCTATTATGACTCTTCCTAATTCTTCACTGTTCAACTTCATATACCTCAGACAGCATTAAATTCATCTTCAGGCAAAAAGAGTGGGTTGCCCAGACTGGTGAGAATTGGATTAACTCATTTCTTTCACAAATGATTCTGTGGCTTTAGGTCATTGATGCTGTTCTGCAGCTATTTCTGTTTTCACTGTGGCCATATATATCCCAGACCCCAGAGAGGTCACAGTGGCACTTACCCTGCATGCAGAGCCCATCAGTGCAGTTCTTGGACTGCAGCACCAGCCCCTCACAGTCCTTCCCCCCGTTCTTTGGTGCTGGGGCCGTGCACTCCCTCCGGCGCCAGTGAGTACACTCCGTGCCACAGGTGGACCACTTGCTCCAGGATGTCCACTTGCCATCCACTGACACAAGGAAAGAACAACTTGTTAGGGTGTACACAGAAGTGAGACCAAGCAAGAGCGATGCACACATTGGCACAAGTCGGCCTGCAACTCCTGGTCATCTCTGGCAAGGCAGAGGGATCATCAGCCTGCTCTTCTCTAAGTTCTACTTCTGTCATGTAAATACACATTCACCCCCACCTCTCCTTCCCCTCTGCCCTGACCCCATTTCTGGTCTTTCTTCCCCTTTATATAAACTTCTAACTAGTTTATCTGTGTTCAAAGTGTACAAGCAACAACTCAGGAATCTGTGATTTTATTTTAATTTTTGGCATTTTTTAACACAGAGATTAAACTGGTCCAAAAATTCTTCTTTAGTAGGAAGATATTTAATGTTAAATACTCCCTATTAAAAGAAATATCTAGAGGTACCAAATTTCACATGAGCAGAATCAAGAATGTGTTTAGTGCCTTTCAACATCCTGCAAATGACTTTCAAAAGCACTAAATCGAACAGGTGAAGAACAAAATATGAAATTGTTCTTGTGACAGAGCTGGATGGTCAAACTTAACAAGCTCAAGATGACCTTACTGACATTGATTTGAGAGGGTCTGTAGAAGGAGGAAAGCACTGGACAGTAGGGGCAGAACTTTGTCACAGATAAGTACCAACTACCTGGTGTGTCCTGAAGCAATTTTGTATTTTTCAGAAGTTTACATTTAAAAACCTTTTAAAGGTATGGATACACATCTCTTTCCAGAATAAATGTCTTTGAAGTCAGGTAAACATGTGCCTCAAATTTAACATCCACATCCCAGATGCTTCTAGTTGCTGAGACAGCTGGACTGAACAGACATTGCAAATATATTTACATCGCAGTTCCTTTCTATATTCAAATTCCAATCCTTTTCCAGAGCTTTCAACCATTATCTCCTACAATTTGAAACTCTGAATGTTCCCCAAATCCCCTGAATTATGAGGGCTGAGACACCAGTGTAATCAGCATGCAAAAGTAGGGCTGAAACCCACGCTGTTTGATATGATGGGCTCACTATTTTATCTACTTATGTAATACAATTTCATATTCATCCCCTGAAATGTTGGATTTATTAATAATGAGAGGCAGGCTTTTGTAACTCATAGTATTCTCCTGAAATGACTGATGACAGACAAACAATTTATCTAGGGCTGTGTGCTGTTGATACTGAACCTGGACACAGAGTGGTGCAAGCTATTTTCTGAACGCTCTGGCCCTCGCAGAAGGCACCACCGTTGAGTGGGGCAGGGTTGGTGCAGGTCCTCGTGCGCTTCTGGAAGCCTCTCCCGCATCGGCTGTTACACACTGACCACTCAGTCCAGGTAGACCAGCCTCCGTTCACTGAAAAGCAAGAGGGAGAGTATGATCCCATAATCAGGCCAGCTTGGTCAGCCCAAAGCCCAAAGTGATGGCTGGGAACAGCATGAGAAGCAACGCTGAACAGACAAAACCCACGTCTCCAACATGCCAAATGTATGCCAGAAGTCACTGTAAAAATTTGAAGAAATGCTGATGCCAAATGAAAAGCACCATTTGATGACAATTAGGGCTGGCAGGTGACCAACCTTACTCTGAAAACTGACCTGACCCAGCCTTAAGCTCCTGATGGAGTATGTATGATCAAAATCCCTGCAGATTCAGAGAGCGCACACAGCTCTAACAGCCAGAAGCCTATGTTCTGAAAGCTGCAGCACTTTCCAAAGGGAGATAACCTGCACTCCTGCTCATGCTCAGATGAACCCATCACCTATGTATGCTGAGACACCCTCATGCTTTGATTAGATATTGATAATTTTCTCTTCCTTTCTTTGAAGACGGTGATTTCAGGATGTCAGGACAACTTCACTCATCCCTCTGTGGACCTAGCTGGTGCATATGAATATCTCAGCACTTCCCTAACAGATATTTAAGCTGTTCAGAGTGAACTAACACTAAATGCATTTTTTTTTTTAATTGACTGTGGGAAGATATTTATCTCTGGAAAGATATTTATGTTGACTCTCCTTTCCACCCACCTCATTTTCTGGGATAGAGGGATAGATGAAGAAGGAGCTATGCTGCTCTACATAAGAATGTCACTGCCAGTGTATGGGTAACATACTAACTGCTCAGATTCTCTAAACCCAAATGTCTGTGATATGACACAACCCTTAAGCAGCTCTGGTAGCAAAACCCATAAAAATGCTACTCCCCTACACATGTCTCTTGAATACACTGTTGAAAAAAATTCTGTATATGTATGAGGAGGAGTTGCCTACATCTTTATGTTTCTGCATTCATCACAGTTACAAAACACAGAGCTCTTGCATGGTCCATTCCTCAATATCACAACCACTGCTAATCAACTCAATTCAGTCAGTTTTCTATAAAAACTGAACTAAAAGGCCTTCATTGTAACTTCGGGGAAGCAACTGCTTACAATTAAATCTAACTGCTACCCTGAATATGAAATGAATATTAGGGATAATCATAGGGATTTTTTCCTACTTGTCTATCCTATAATTAAGCTGATTGTAAGGAACACCAGTTCAGTCAGCTGGCACATCATCAGAGCAGGTTTTGTTCTGGTGGATACCCCCACCTGGGATGCATTTGGGGCAGTAACTCTGCAGGGGCAAAGGCTCAACCTGGCGGGGCAGAGCTGCAGCACAACACAGGCTGGAAGAGACCCTAGAAGGGCATCTCATCTGGCCCCTCCACAGCCAAAGCATGACCAGACTCAGTTACATCAGGACTGTGGATGCAGACACACGCAGACACTGTACATGCTATCCCATGCTTTGTATTCCCTTGACGTTTATTTTTAAGCTAGGCTGTGCGCCTCTGAACTGCAGTCCCAGAATGCTTTGTTACTTTGCCCCTGATGTCAGGGTATGTTTTGGCAGTAGACACCAAAAATAAGCTTATTTAAATAAATATAAGAAGATGGAGGGTTGTGATGAGCTCTGACACTCTTATGAGTATCTGAGAGCACGAACTTCCCATCAGTTTCACTCTTATTTCTGAAAAGTACCACTAAGAATGTGAACTGTGGTGGTAGTAAGCAATGCCTTGGACACTCCTGTTGGAGAATGTGCCCTCGTGGCTCCTTGCTGTATCCAGCCAGCATGTGTTACAGCAAGGGGAAAAAACGCCTGCTCTTCATGAGGTAGCTGGCTGTGTGTGCAGGTGCTTGTTCCTCCTGTCACCATTTCCTGTCACCAATAAGCCAAGCCATCAGACCTGTACTTCTGATATTTTCAGTAATGAACCCTGACTGCAGTCCCTGTACATGTCTGCAAGTCAACAGGCAGCACAGGCAGCCCAGACTGACCACAATTAGAGTTGCATACACGCATTTTGCATCCTCCTCCCGCCCCTCTTGCTTTGAGTGTGCATCCATCCATTTGCAATGGGACAAGGCACCACTTACCATAGACAATCACAGTCGCTGTGGTGCTTTTCCTTTTGGCCACAATGTTTTTTGCAACACAGGTGTAATTGGCTGTGTCAGAAAGCCGGGCCTGCTTGATGATCAAGTTGTGATCAATCGTGATGTAAAAATTTCGGTCTTCCACGGGATCAATAACCTCTTCATTCTTCAGCCACTCCACCTTGGGGTTTCAAAGGGCCAGAGGGGAGGTAGTGAGTCAGCACCAAGTCACACCACAATTGGACAGACACAGTATCTATGATTACACTGCTTTTAAGTACACATGCACTCACATGTACATACGTGTTATTGTCTTGCTGCAATTACAATTAAACAAAACAGAGACAGTTACCAAGAAATCACAAGGACATCAATGCTTATTTTTCCTTTTTTACTTATATAAGCTACATTTTATTTTAATAAAGCATAATTTCCTTATCTACACCAAAACAAAAAACAAAAACCAAAACACAAAACAAACCAACCAAACAAACAAAACAACAAAAAAAGCCCACCCATGATTTTTAATCTAGACAATGTTCTCTTTATTGCCTTCCTAAAAAAAAACCACCTTGTTATATCCCAGCTGATGGCAGTGAGCCGCTCTTAATATAATTTGGCTGCAAATCCAGTAGCTCGTTTTCATTTCAACTGTATGCTCTGAAGGACAAGACAGGACTGGGCCCTGGATGGATCAAAGCTGGGTCTTTATGTCACTGGATCACTTCAGCCTGTGTCCAGAACTTAATTAAAGGAGGAAAAACATAAACACAATCAGCCTGCCAGACTTGTGAGGTGCTAGCTGCCAAGACCTGCTTTCACAAACCCCACTTTTCTAAAGACATTTGAGGAACTACCCAAGCACTGACGTACCCCAAAAGCAACCAAGAACCTGCTCCCCACCTGAGACAGCTGTACAGACTGCCCCAATCCATGGTGAGAAAACGAATGACCACTCCTGGTGCTCAAGACAGAAGGCTCAATTCATGCCTGGACAAAGCCAGTCCAATGCTGTAAGACCAGTGCTGGCAGATGTGAGCTTGGATTATAGGTCCCCACCACCCAGTCCCCCTCTTTAGCCCTGGCTTAAGTAGCTCCAGCTCCCCTACCCCAGTTTGGGTGGAGGTATATCAGGTGTGAGCTGCTTCCAAAGGTGTACACCTTAGTGAATGTAAAGCCATTGCTTCAGCGAAGGCTTGATTTAAACCCCCCTTTCCCACAGCACATCCCTGCAGTACGTGGCAGTCAACTGTCAATACTGTGTTGCTTAAAGTTGGTGGTGTAAAAAGGGCCATGGAAATGGATACATGTGTCTGTGAGGAACAGGAAAAGAAAAAAAAGATATAAAACTTTGGAGGCTGTATTTCTGTCACTACCACAATCCTGTTTCACCATGGAAGATATAAGCTCTCAGTCAATAGCCTGGTTTTCCTAAACAGGATGACTAAAATTGTTCTTCCTCCTTCCTTGAATCCTAATGGGTATCAGGTATAATCAAGACAGACAGATTCCTACTCAGTCAATGGCAATATTTAGCTCCTTCCTCACCTGCAGGTCAAGTCCCCGTGCATTCTAAAATGAAAAACAAGCCAGGAGCTTATCTTCACCAGTCGTAGGCTGTCACTTAACCGCCGCCTCTCACACAAATAAAACACCTTTTTTGGGTTTTAATGTCATTGATTATTTCTGGGATGGAGTACAGACTTATGCCAGGGGTCTAATAGATCCTACATGCACTGCCAGAACCATGTACGTACCACCTTCAAATCTGCCTGTAATCTTCCTATCCCCTGCACATTGAAGACACCAGGACATCAGTAAGAACAGGACTACAGTCTACATAGTCTAATGCTCAGTCTAAAATGTTTCTGGTATGCCCATCAGAGCGCATACTCTAGTAGCCTTTGGCACCCTGAAGGCTCCATGCCCAAGCACATGGTTGTCTTTTTCGAGTACTCTGCAACACTTTCTCTCTCCACTGAAAACACACATGCATATTCAGTCTGGGTCTCAAATGATTAGACAAAATTAAAGCTGTAAGCATTGAATTCCCTATCATCCCTGCAAAAACACCAAAGATAATATGAAAACAGAAGTTGCCAAAAAAAAAAAAAAAAGGCAGCTCTGTATAATTCAGTATATTGCCTCTGGCTCTACACCAAATCTCTTAGGAAAAAGATCCTTTTCACCTAATGTCTCAAAATTCTACAGAATTTGCTAACAATAAAAGTTTGCAGAACAACAGGATGCCTCTTTTTTCCGCCAGTACATCAGAACTGTGTGTGCATGTCTAAATCCCATCTCTTTCACAAGATATCTCTAATATATCTAATTCAGTCTTCTGACATCCAGGTTTTTATGATGTCTGTTAATGTTGCAAACTCCAATGTTAAATCTGAAGGGAGGAACTGATGGATGATTTGACACGCAGCAGGAGTCTCCTTTCACACACATTTTAGCCATCAGTAGAACAACACAAAAAAGAGCACATCCCTGGTTGTGTTTTCTCCCTCAGTCCTTGTAGAAATGGTAACTAAGTCAATACACTACAACATATAAGTGAGGCTGTTGTTGGTACTTATTTTCAATTATTATCAGCCTCATTTTCTCTGGTGCGGGTGACTGCAGTGCTCAGTACCTCCAAACTTCTGATTTTTTTTTTTTGAGGTAACCAGTATAGGTGGGAGCAGGGTTGTTCTGTCACGTAAGTAGGAAGAGATCAGGCGTCAAATACAGAATACAGAAGAGAAGAGAACAAAGAGGAATGAGACAGCGTGATTTATGAATGACAAGTATGCAAACTGTTATTACAGAAGCTAAAAGCAACAATCTCTTTTGATGCCATGTCATTCCCCAAGGCTCAGCCCCCTCACTGAAGTAGGCTGTTAATTCAGTCAATGCAGAAACTTATCCTGAATTTAATTCTGCTGCCTGAATAATAGAGACTGGCAGATGAGGCATCAGACACTTACGTGCTAGAGACCTGTACCCCTGCAGGCAAATGGACAGAGGGGCAGCAGGATGTCCACGGACATTTCAAAGTGCACAAAAGCCAGCCTCCAAGGTCATACTAAATCACACCCTCATGCCTCCATTTTTCATATATCTAGAGATGTTTTAGAGTAGATGGTTGCTTTTGCCTAATATTGAAGATGTATATTTACTGGCTATAATAACAATTCTTGAACAGGCATCTAGTCCTACATATTCAATTAAATCAAGCATGTCCTTCCAACTGTTATTGATAAATGTACTGATGGCTGTGCATGCATATGTAGGAAAAGCATGGGATCAGTTTTTCTTTATCATAACAGAAATCATTTAATTGCCAACAATTATGCCATAAAGGATGAAGTAAGTGTACCCCCTGGGAGATGACAGCTATGGAAAATTACAACAATTTGCAATTTTTTTTTAATATACAAACTCTTAGAGCAAAGCAGACAGAAAATCCCCATTTCTTATTGTTAGTTTTCTACTTGCAGAAGTATTTTTGTTATATGTTTGCAAACTGACTAGCAAAAGAAGCCCACTCAGTTGAGGTGTGAGAGTAGTGAATGAAATTTTGACTCATAGAAACTGCAGATGCTGAGAAGCTGGAGTACACCTGAAGCTCTTTTGGTCAGAGCTCCTTAGCATTCTGGAAGCAACTTGCAGAGCAGTGAGGCACACAGCTCCTGCCAGCTGTGCTGGATCTGCACATCCAGTGCTGCTAATGGGCTGGCAAGCAAGCCTGCAAGAGACTAAGCCATCCCTGCAATGGGCTGAGAAAGCGCATGGTCCAAGGCGACTGTAATTTACAGCAACATACCTTGTAGCATCTTTCTGTCATCCCGCTCCCCAGTGAGAGACAGATGTGTTGTCTCTAATCATTCACTGATTGGTATCGGGAGATACATTAACATAATTGGCACATTTGTTCTAATTAACAGAGGGAAGCTGCCACATGCCACCCAACATGAAAAGCAAGACCATCGGCAAGAACAGAAAACCTGCGATCAACACCTCAGCTATACCTGGGAGCTGCAGCCAAACCTGTGCTGCCAGAGGATGTTTCCAGCAGCAGCACAAAATAAGGCAGCACACACAGAGATAAAGACTTGCAGAGCCAGGACAGGCTTCTGTGCAGACTAAATGAACACAGGGAACATAAATCACACAAGCGATTACAGACGCAAGAAAACCTATTATGGAGGCTAATTGCTGACACAAATTTAGCCATACTAAGTTACTAGCATTACTAGGCACTTAAGTCTCTTGGCACACTTGTTTATGTATGACTGTTTTAGAAACTAGTAGAGCAGAAGCACATCTGTTCCAAAAGAAATCCAAGGATGGAAAAGGAATAAGAGCTCATGTAGGTCCTGCCCTCCGTATCGTACAAGTCATTCCTTACACCTCTCGCAATCTCAAGAGCAAAGTCAGCAGGGTATGAGTTCTGGATCCTTGTTGCTCATTATCTCCTCTGCACCAACCTGCCCTAGAATCATCTTCAGAGCAAGGTCCACCTGCCCAAAACAACAAGTCTTTTATCCTCCAGACATAGACAAAGTGCTCCAGTGCAATTCTCCAGAAGAAACAATGCAAACAGCTGGGAGAGACTTGCCTTGATAAAAGGCAATTTGTAATTCTGGGAAGTGAGAACATTGTACCCCTGCCTTCCCCATGCCTGGTTGATGCAGCAGGATTGCTTTCCATCTGGTCCCTCATCCACATCGGCATTGCGGTTGGTGTTCTCTGCAGCTGTGCCAACTGGTCACAGCGGCATCACTTGCCTTGCAGCAGTCCCTGCTGAGCTCACACAGCCTCCAAGAGCCACAGGGAAATCATAGCTCCCCTGCTTCACCTGAATTGTAACAACAGACACAAATCCCAAGCCATATTGGTAGTAAGGGCACACATACTCATTCCAGTAAGAATAAAGCATTTGTGCAACTAGCTACTGATTTGGACACAGTACAAGATGTTCAAGTGAGACCGAGAAAACTTTAGCAGCTTTCATACAGGCTATCGAACCAGAAGCTATTCCAGATACCTTGAGACTTGAGTGCCTATTTGAAGAATGTTATTTGATTTTTGGATTTTGTTTCAAATGTATACTTTCACCCCAGCAACTGGCTGTTGAAAGGGATGCTGTCCTCTATATACTATTTACTGAAAAGAGACTTAAGATTAAAAAAA